GTGCAATTTTAAATAGTCTGCTGAGTGTCTTAGTCTGTTTGAGCTGCTGTAACAGAATATCACAGACTGGGTGGCTTAGAAACAACATAAATTTATTTCTCATGGTGCTGGAGGCTGGAAGTCCAAGGTCAAGGCCCTGGCAGATGCAGTGTCTGGTGAGCACTTGCCTCCTGGTTCATAGTCGGCCGTCTTCTCGCTGTGTCCTCACATGGTGGAAAGGACAAGGAAACTCTCCGGGGTCTCTTTATAAGGGCACTAATCCCATTCATGAGGGCCCCATCCTCATGACCTAATCACCTTCTAGAGTCCCCACCTCCTTACACCATCACGTGCTCGGGCTTCAACATATGGATTTGGGGGGATGGGACAAAATGCAGACCATATGCAGATAAGGAGGCTTCATTGAGAAAGAGACATTTGAAGAAAGACTTAAAGGAGGAGAGGGAGTTGGTCATGAAAACATCTGGGGGAGCAGCGTTCCAGGCAGCCATGCAGAGGGAGCCCATGCAGGAACGTGCCTGGTGAGTCTCTATCATCTCTCAGTGGGCACTTGGACCTCACCCCAGAGACACCAAGTTTCCGAACTGACTTCCTCTTTCCCTTCTTCCTGAAACTCCCCACTTCAGTGTGTCGGGCTTTCCAGCTCCAACACCGTCTTCTGCATTGCATATGACAAATATCCAATAAATATGAAGTAGAGAACAAATAGATAACACTATGTTTGTGTAACTCACAAGCGACTACCTCACAGATCTCAACGAAGACTCTTGAAACACATTCGTTTACTAATTCATGGCCTCCTATGTTACCAAAGTCTTCAGTACTATTCTGGAACCCTTTTTTCAATTGATTTCATATTGTGTCCTTGGGAGAAGTGTAAATAGAACTTAGTGCACGATAGAGGAACGAAAGAAATGTCCCATTCCAGACTTCTGAAGGGAACAGGTCAAGCCAGTGTGTGAGAGGAGAAAGGGAGGCAAGAGGCAGAGGAGACAGAAGGAGGCAACTTGAAGGCCTTTCAGAAGCAGGGGTGTGGCCTGCATGTGGGAAACCCAGCGTCAGGGACTTCCGATTCACTTGGCCCAGTGACCAGGGAGGCCTCAGTGCTCAAGGACAACTGCCCTAGGAGGACGTCTCTGCAAAGGGAAAATAATGAAGCATTCCAGAGAGCTACGATTTCTATGTTTTAACCTAAAAACACAAGTTATGAAGCATGTTTATCCCCATACGGAAGTCATTACGGAAAGTGAGAACAGGGGAGTCAAAAATTAGGATTTCATCTGTCCTCAGGCTTAGTCATTTCTTATCATGGAGCTACACACACACACTTGAAAAACCACAGCACACAAAATTACCAAACTGGAAAACACCTTGTCATTTTAATTAGATGGAATTTTATCTTAGCCATGACAGAGAAAAGGTGATTTTTCTAACTAGAAGGAAAAAACACCTTTCTCTTCAGGATTTATACTTCTTGACACAGATTCAGACAAGAAGGTTATTTCTTTCTTTCCCTTTCTTTACTTTTCTTTACCTTACCTGACACTTCTGTTGTCTTCTGCAGAACATCATCACTTCTAGTAAAATACCAGCCAGAAGCACTGGGGTCCACGCAGTCGTTCGTCCCTCCATGCGTGGTCCTGCGCTGCATACTGGGACTACAGGATTGAACAAGATGGTTGTGGTCCTTGCACTCAAGAAGCGTATTGCCCTGGGAGGGACATAGACATTAGATGAGTACATTTGCACATAAACATTTAAGTTACAGTTATAGAAAATATTAGGAAAGAAGCTTAGAGGGACTTGGACTAGTAGGGGAGAGGAGCTTGCAGAGGGGTCAGGCTTTCTTAAGGACGTGATGCTTAAGCTGATACTTGACGGTGGAATAGGGGTTAGTCGGGACGGGTAGGAAGGGTAGAGGGTCCCCCCAGAGGGAACGGGCGTAGTGCTTGTGAGGAACTGAGAGGCCCCGGTTGCTGTGGATAATGAGAGTGGGCAAGGATTGTACCAGTCGGAGTTCTCAGAGAAGCAGAAGCAATAGGATTCACAGAGAGAGAGAGATTTAGTATAAGGAACTGGTTCACACGTTCATGGAGCGGACAAGTCTGAAGATCTGCGGGCGTGTCGCCAAGCTGCAGACCCACGAGAGCCAATGGCGTCCTTCCAGTCTCAAGTCCAGCGGGTTCAAGACTTAGGAAGAGTCTTTTTACGTTAATGTTTTAGTTTGAGTCCAAAGACAGGAAAAAAGCCAATGTCCCAGTCCAAAGGCTGTCAGGCAGGAGGAAATCCCCATCGCTCAGGAGAGGTCAGCCTTTTTGTTCTACTCAGGCCTTGAACTGCTTAGACGAGGCCCGCTGCATCAGGGAGGGCCATCTGTTTTACTCAGTCAAATGATGTAAGTGTTCCTCTCACCCAAGGCAGCCTCACAGAGACACTCAGAATAATGTTTGACCAAATATCTGGGCACCCCATGGCCTAGTCAAGTTGACATATAAGATTAACCATCACAGGGAAGGTGATGAATGGGGCTGGAAAGTAAGATGTGGGACAGATGTACATGGGCCTTGTAAACAACGCTGAGTTTTGATCTTTATTCCGACAGCAACGGGTAGCCACTGAAGGGCTTCAAGAAAGGGAAAGAAATACTCTGATTAGTATTGGCAAGAGGTTTGATTGCTGTGTGGGGAAAAGACATGAGGGAACAAATGCAAGGAAAGCTCCATAGAAGAAGTGACATCTCAGGACTTGAAGGTTGAGAATGATTTAGTTATTGGGAGAGGATTAAAGGGCATTCCAAATGATAGAAATGCCATTAGCAAAGAAATAAAGATGGAAAGTGGAGGGGCCAGCCCAATGGCACACCGGTTAAGTTCCCATGTTCCGCTTTGGTGGCCCGGGGTTCACCGGTTCGGATCCTGGGTGCCGACATGGCACCACTTGGCAAAAAAGCCATGCTGTGGCAGGCGTCTGACATATAAAGTAGAGGAAGATGGGCACGGATGTTAGCTCAGGGCCAGTCTTCCTTGGCAAAAAGGGGAGGATTGGCCGTAGACATTAGCTCAGGGCTAATCTGCCTCAAAAAAAAAAAAAAAAAAGATGGAAAGTTCTGAGTATTCAGTGATTAAATCATCTTGACCAGAGAATAGAATACATAAAAAAAATATGTAAAAATATATTTTTAAAAAGATATATGTATAATGAAGCTAGCAAGGTGGCTGGAGGCAAATCACAGAGTCTTGAGTAATGAAGTAAGAAATGCATGACTTTATTTTGTAGCTAATGAGAAGAACTTGATGGTTTCTTTGAGCAAGTGAATGACACCATCAGATCTATTTTAGAAAGATGACCGTTGATGACAGTGGATCGGCAGCTGGGAAGGAGACCAATAGAGTAGACAGCACTTGGTAGGGTACCAAGAAACCATTAAGGATGGAAGGGGAAGAGGCAATGGGCGTAGTACGGAGGAAACAAATTCAGGAGACTTATCTGAGGTCAAGTCAACAGAACTGAGCAACTGACCAACCGCGGAGAGTGAGGAAGGGGAGGCAGCGAAATACAATTCTACATTTCTAACCTGCGTAATTAAGTAGAGGGTGATGCCCTTGACCATGAGAGGGGATTCAGGAAGGAGAGGGCAAGCCTGCATTTATTTCACGAAGGGGGGTGAAGGAAGGATGGGAAGAGGGAGGAGACAAAATCTGACATTGGATGCGTTGAGTTGGTGGTGCTTATAGCATTTCGAGGTAAGATGTCCAGCAGGCAGTTAAGATTTATGGATCTGGAGCCCAGGAGAGAAGTTGCGGCTGGAAATACAGAGTTGGGAGGCATAAGTATAATTATAATTGTTCTCAGTCTTTTGGATTTCAAAATTTAGTAAAATTTCTCAAAAAAAAGGTAGTTCACATGATTAGCTTTTCTGTTTGTTAAATATTCCATCTACTGTCACCACCACTTCACAAAAGATCAGACATTATGATTCCAAAAAAGTATAAAAGCTGTCATTTCAGAATAAAGGAGCCTCTTTTAAATTGAATAGATTTAGCCTCATGAAAAACTCTCTCCATCATCCTCATTTCTCTCATTTAGCTGCAAACCTGTGAAACTTGTGTCACAGATTGTCTAGTTTGCATTTGCCCAGTATGGGCTTAAGACATGAGGGTAGCCAAAACTGTGAGATTTGATGAGAAAGCCTTGGAAGAGAGTTCAGAACTTAGAGAAGAGAAAATGGAAGAGAATGAAACCTTAGGAAATCAACGTTGAGGTGAGGCAGTGGGCAGAGAAGCAGAGGAGTGAGGGAAAAAAATTAGGAAAAAATGAAAAAAAAAATAGAAATAAGAGACTAGGCCAGTGGGATAGTAGTTGAGTTCGCATGTTCCACTTCGGTGGCCCGGGGTTCACAGGTTCAGATCTCAGGTGTGGACCTACGCACTGCTCATCAAGCCATGCTGTGGCAGCATCCCACATACAAAATAGAGGAAAAATTGGCAACAGATGTTAGCTCAAGGCCAATCCTCCTCACCAAAAAAAAAGAAATAAGAAGAATGCTACCACCTTTTAACTGCAGTCTTATAGAAACCCTTACTCTCATCTCTGTTTCTGTAAAGAAGGGATTTTGATCAGCATGGCAAAGAGGACGTCATGTGCCCCTGGTGGCCAGGAAGAAGATTAGCATGAAAGCCACAAACTATAACAGGGGTTGGCAAACTATGGCCTGTGGGCTGAATCTGCCCTGCCCTCTGCCTGTTTTTGTACACTGCCTGGGCCAAGAATGCTTTTTACATGGTTTAAAAAATCAAGAGGGGCCAGCCCTGTGGCTGAGAGGTCAAGTTCGCATGCTCCCGCTTCAGTGGCCCAGGATTTCACCGGTTCAGAGCCTGGGCATGGACATGGCACCGCTCATCAAGCCATGCTGAAGAGGCATCCCACATGCCACAACTAGAGGGACCCACAACTAAATACACACAACTATGTACTGGGGGGCTTCAGGAGAAAAAGGGAAAAAAAATTCTTTTTTTTAAAGTCAAGAGAAGAATACTATTTCATGACGTGAAAATTATTTGAAATTCAGATCAGTGTCCATAAATAGTTCTGTTGGATCAGTCACCCTGAGTAGTTTGCGTGTTGTCTGTGGCTGCTTTCATGCTACGTGACAGAGTTGAGTAGTTGTGAAATAGAGCGTAGTCCAAAAGGCCTAAAATACTTACTATCTGGCCTAGAGGGGGCTGTTTGTGTGCCTCCAAAATTCACAGGTTGGAACCTAATCCCCAAGGTGACAGTGTTAGAAGGTGGAGCCTTTGGGAGGTGATGAGGTCACAAGGGTGGAGTCCTCATGAATGGGATTAGTGCCCTTATAAAGGAGACCCCAGAGAGTTCCCTAGCTCCTTCCTTCCATCGCATGAGGTTACAGCTAGAAGGCACGGTCTAGGAAGTGGGCCTTCCCCAGATCCCAAATATGCCAGCACCTTGATCTCGGACTTCCCAGAACCATGAGACATAAATGTCTGCTGTTCGTAAGCCACCCGGTCTGTGGTATTTTGTTAGAGCAGCCCGAACAGATTAGACATGGCCCTTTACAGAAAAAATTTGCCAGCCCTTCAACGAGAAGCTAGAGGGAAGGGGGTGGGCAGGCTGGAAACCCAGGGAGGGAAGAGTGAGGCAGAGCTGTAGGAGGGGATCCCTCCCGCCTTCATCCAGGACCGAGACTGTGTCACAGAAGGGGGTTCTCAGTGCAGTATGTGGCACCATTCAATGTCTCCGGTGTTCAGAGGCCCAGGGAGAGGAAAAAGAGCATGTCAGCATGTTACAAACAGATTCACATTTGGGTTGTTGTTGTTGTTGTTTTATTTTATGCTTGTGTGTTTTCATATTAACTTAGACAATGTTCCTTTAAGCAAAAATCCTCTCTGCTTTTAGAGCGTGACCTCCCTCCAGTCCTAGATACTGATTCTTGGGGAAGAGTGACATTCCCCTACAATGCTGGCTCATTATTTTCCTTCTGGAATTGCAAATCCAAGGATCAAATGGCACAGTCTGAATACATCAAGGAGGGGAGGGAATCCCACCAGAGGTGCCTTGAAACAAAGGAAACAAATAACTTCAAAACCGCATCATGTGATCTGGACCTGTTACCGGACAGATGGAACTCTGGATTGTTCCATTCTATCAGAACAACAGAGGAAGGAAATGTTTTAAAATGAGATTATGTTATTTTCCCCAGTTCTTATTATGAAACCTTCCTGAAATGAACTTTAAATATCAGCAGCCCCTTTCATGCGGGTGAATGGGATTCAGTCAGCAGGAGCACTGCAGGAAAGTGGGTCCATTATGAAAAATGTAGAGAGGCAGAGGTTTCGACAAACAGCGGATCCCTATGGGGTCCTTTGGCTGGTGAGAATTCAGGCTCTAAAACACAGCTGCGTGTGTTAGGAAGGGACCCGTGTCTTTGAAAAAGCTATGTGCCTCATATAAACGGTAATTAAGGGGTCCTTTTTCAAAAGACATCAATTGTAATGAATAAAAAATCTTCTGCACTCTTTGCCCTCAACAAGAAAATGATTGACAACCAGTTATTGTATAGAGAAGAAAAAATACCCTGGAAGTTTTGAAAATCTCCACCAAATAAAATCACGCAATAATTCTTTCTAATGCTAGACTTCCTATACAGAATTTTCCAACGGAAGTTGTTTGTATTATATAGCCCCAAACCCTGCTGGATAATGAGAAAAGATGTTTTGCTAGTGTTCTCTAGTTAAATGACTGTCCAAGACCAACCAAGGCTTTGTCTCCTTGTCTCTTTGTCTGGGGGCCCCTCCCACACCTCTAAATCTTGCGGTTCCTAAAGACCCTCAGAGTACCAGAGCCCATATCCAACTGCTCACCTGACATTGCCACTGAGAAGTCTCGGAACATCTGGAATTTAATTGCCTCCTCCATCTTCCTTCCAGTCTTCACTGACTCCATAAATGGCACCCGCATCCATCCACTCATGAAGCCAGAACTTGGGATTCATCTCCAGTTCTTCTGTTCTCATTGCCCAGCCCCCAGACCGTTCTCTACAGTGTCAAAGCAAATGACTTCCTGCAACATAAATAAGACCTTATCGTGGACCTGCTTAAATCCTGCACTGACTTCCCACGACACTTAGAATACAATTCAAACTCTTTTCCTTGGCCGACAAAGCCTCTGTGATCTGGTCTGGCAATTTCTCGAGCCTTTTCTCAATCACTCCTTCCTCACTCATGATGTTCCAGCAATATCTGTGTTTTTCAGTCTTTGACTTCTCTTGATCCTTTCCACTCTGAGCTTCTGTATTTTCTGTTCCCTGTGCCTATAGAGTTCACCCCACACACTTCACAGACTGCCATTTTGGATACAGAGCATACTCTCAACCTCCTTTCTCTTTTAATTATCAGGGTTTGGGGCTGAGCTGACTGTCACCATTGGAGTTCAGCATGGACTCCCAAAGAGCATCCTCCTCTATCCAAGTTCTGAGTCCTTGAGAAATAAATCACAGAAGCCAGGCAGAGGGAGACCAACATATCACCCTCGTTACTGACAAAATCGATCTTGAAGCAAGTGGCTTATAATATCTGCAGACAAGTGGCTTCCTAGTACTAACCCTAGGTTCAGGTAGACCTACTCCCAGTCAGGCTGTGCTATGACCGTGTGGGGGTCTTGCCTCTGGAATATTTACATTAAGGAGGGGGAAGTGCAGACCTGCGTTCTCCTCAGGCAAGTTGGCTCTCCAAGAAGAGGAGAGGATATATCTGGACTGCAAACCGAGGTTCTCTTTCCAAATGTAAGTATTCCTCTTCCTCTAGGAAGTGACATGCAGAGGAGACTGGAAGTGTTATGCTGGCAAAGCTCCCTCTACCTAGAAGGAAACACCAGGAGTTGAGAAGAAGCGTTCCCTCCTGCGCCCCCTGCCCTCAAAGCCACTTTCTCTAAAACAGCCTCTCTAACTCCTCTTCCCTGGGCTGGGCTAAGGACCTTCATCTGGCCCTCCTGGCACCCTCAGCTTCTCTGCAGTCACCTACTCTTTTGCCCTATATGATCTATTTCTATGCCTGTCCTCTCCATCAGTCTGAGGACTTTCAGAGACCAAGAAGAATAAAGAGTGGGGGGAAGAAATGTTATTGTGTATGAGTTGGAGGTGTTTTTCTTGCCATATTCCACAGGTTAGGGGATGACCCATGTTGGGAATGGAATCCAAGCTAGGATGGGACTTTCCAGAAAATGAGAGCCAGCGCAGAGGACCACAGCACAGCTGGCCTATGCATGGAAGCCCATTTCCTAGAGCTCTGTCTGTCTCTCCTGGCCTCAGCTGGAGGATGTAAAATGAAGGGCAGTTCTGTCCTCCTCACACAGGGTTTTGTGAGACTTTTTTTTTTTAACATTCTGAAGACAGGAAAAGTATCCCTAGCACAGATTGCCCGTGACTCCGAGGTTAAATGGTTCAATCCATGTCGCGATGGCTTCGGCTCCCTGGTGAGAGAATGTGCTCTCACACATTAAATTGGTCTTGCTTTCAAAGCAGGGCACCTGCATTGGAAGGATCCCTCTTCCATGGGGATTTAGCAGCCCCCTCCCCGCATACGTGGGGTAAAATACATCCGCAGTGCTAATCATCATGGAGGGATTACTGAGAAAGTGGTGTGATCACCATATATAATCTACAACCGGTGCAACGCTGGGCTGTCTCACTCCAGCACTTACGTTCTCTGCAAAGGGCAATACTGAAGCCTGAAATATTGCTGAGAACAAGGAAGAATGCATTTACATTCAGGGCAAGCAGCCCATGCGGGAAGTCTAAACTACCAGACTGACGACGGCAATAAACAGAGTTGTTAATATGTAAGTCACAACCTAGATGGAACAGCGCTGTTGCCAGGACGGAGCAAAGCTTAGCCCCGGTCTAGCCCCCCACTCTCAGGGGCCCTGGGAAAGGGACTAATCAGGGAGGCGGTGCTATTCATTGCTACTGAGAGAGCCCCATGACTCCTACAGAGCTAGGTCTGCACGTGCACTATACACATGGACCTACGCATGTCCATTTGTACAATAAATCCTTAAAGAGCCACCAGTACCCCACACACCGCTTCCCATCATGCTGTGGCCTTTAGTGGCTTCTTTCTTTCAAAGGCTTGGTGTTTCTGTTAAGCTTCTTCGACTTAACATAACTGTCCTGTTGAGGAGCAAATAGATGCCCAGTGGGACTTACCTGAGCCCACACCCTTTGTAGGCATGACCCTGCCTCTAAAACAATATTAAAACGGTGCACGCGTTTCACCTTGAGCGAGAACACTGGGAATGCCATTCTCTTGTTAATCCATTAGTTTCTGAGTTCTGACTCTGCCAGGCCACACAGGGAAGGCTTTCTGGAGGAGCAGATCCTTGCACTGAGTCTTAAAGGATGAATTAGATCAGGTAGACATTAGAGGGGTGGGTTGGGGGTGGCAGGTGGATGGTTTCAGAGGGGACCACATGAGCAGGGGCATAGAAGGGGCAAAAGCTATGGTGTAAATTGCAAGGAGTGGGGAGGTGTGGTCAGGCCAGAGCTTGGCCCGTATCCTGCAGGCAGTGGGAAGTGACAGGGTCACATCTGCATTGCAGCTGGATTAGTCTGGGCCAATGGGGGAGATGGATTTGCACAAACTGGGACAGGTGGCACAGACCCATGTTGGAAGACTGACACGGCAGCCATGCTCCAAGGAGCCCTTGTAAAGTGAGGGGTTTAGGCTGATCCAAAATGCTCCAGTCTGGGACAGGCAGCGGCCTAGGGAGATTAGAAGTCTCTTTGGGGTGACTGAAGACCCACTAGTGACAAGGGCCAGGTGGGCGGTGGCCTCATCTATGGGCTCCGAGTCAGGGGCAGGGTGAATAGCTGAGGGTGTTACAGACAACAGCTGGCAAACACCCACTTCCATTATGTCTATTAATGTTCCTGAAAATAAAATATGCTAAAGGTGTTTCAAAAGAGAAAGCCTCTACTTCTGGGTGTATACACAAAAGCATTGAAAGCAGGGACTCAAATAGATATGTGTTTGTGCCCCCATGTTCACAGCAATGTTATTCACAGTGACCAAGAGGTGGAAATGACCCAAGTGTCCATCAGTGGATAAATGGATGAACAAAATGTGTTATAGACACACAACGAAATATGATTCAGTCTTGAAAAGGAAGGAAATTCTGACACATGCTACGACATGGATGGACTTTGAGGACGTCATGCTAAGTGAAATAAGCCAGACACAAAAGGACAAATGCTGTATGATTCCACTCATACGAAGTTCCCAGAATAGTCAAAATCACAGAGACAGAAAGTAGAGTGGAGGTTGCCAGGGGCTTGGGGCTGGGGAATGGAGCGTTAGTGTTTAATAGGGACGGAATTTCTGTTTGGGAAGATGAAAAAGCTCTGGAGATGGACGGTGATGATGGTCGTGCATCAGTGTGAATGTACTTAATGCCACTGAACAGTATGCTTAAAAGTGGTTAAAATGGTAAATTTTGTTATGTATATTTTACCACAATTTTTTTAAAAAAGAGCTAAAGGAAAAGTGAATTAACATTCATTGAGCACCTAGTCTATATCAGCACTGCCCTAATTGCTGTAGGTGCTGCAATTTATTTAATCCCCCTGAAATGCCCTGGGCTCTGTGCAAGGCGGCCAGCAGCCACACCTGGTCAGGTGTCCAGAGACTGCCCTCCACTCTGGACTGCAGGCCTGGCCTGCTCTAGGAGGAGGGCACATACCATTATCTAAGCCCCTCAGGCCCCTGTCTGTTTGCCCCCGTCACCAAGGCAATGACCAAAACAACTGCCCCCGCCTGCCAGACCTTCATGGGAGGAGCCCCACAGCTGACTGCCGGCTCTTTGTTAGCTGACCAGGAGGAGCCGTGGGCTCAGCCTTCCAGGCCCCACCCCGCCTCTGCCTCCCCACCCAGATGTGCCTGTGCTCAGAGGAAAAGGGGTCCCAAGTCCCGGCGATCAGAGCTCTGTGTGACCCGGGTGGCCTGTGTGGCGGGGATGAGGAGAGACTGACAGCCTCCTCATGAGTCGGGCGGCCTGCTGTTTGAGGATCTCCTGGGCCCCCTGACAGCCTTGGTGGAACCTCAAAGACAGTTCAGAGAGAGACTCAGAATCCTTCTCAACACAGCATCCTGGGGTCAGAGTTGGCTCACCAGGTGAAACCACTCCGCCATCCCTTGTTCTTCGGCTGGCCTGGCCTTGGCTTTTGTTTTGACTTCTCCTAAAAAGGCTGCCTGGGCTCCAGGTCCTGTTCCAGGCCCAATCCAGGCAATCAAGATACTATACCCGGCCTGCTTCTCGGGGAAGGCCCTGAGCAGATGTCTCTCTACCTCCCGTAAAGGCACAGAACTGGGAAATTAAATCCGCCTTTGTCCCATCTCTCCGGTGCATCTCCCATCCTCTCGGCCCCCATCACTAAGTCAGGTGAAACAGAGTGACTTTCACATGACGTTTCTTTCAGAATTTCTGCCTCCCACCCAGAGGCCTGAGCTAGTCCGTTTCAGAGTCTGGCGGAAGCTTCTTTCTTTGTTCGTGGAATAACACCTACTTAAGTCTCTTACACTTCCCTGCTCCAACTGGAGTGGAACAGAGGGGACACCTGGGAAGGGAGATGGTGTTCTGTCCCCTGCAGACCGTTCCTCTCTCTCTGTCTCTCTGGCTCTCACTCTCCAGCATACACACACACACACACACACACACACACACCTGTTTGCAACAAGAAGGAAAAGAATCTACCTTTGAGATTCCAGGCCTGCTTGATCATGGAGATAAGCACGCCCTTGCTGTCCACTGGCCTTGCCCCAGAACACTGGGCCACCCCGGGACTGCCTCCTGGGCTGTGGGAGGGCTGGGCCGAGAGACACCGGGCTGCCTCACCCTGGCCACTTGCACAAGCAGCTTTCAAACCAGATCTGCAGGCTGAGTGTGCTTTGTTCTTTTGGACACCCAAGGCCCACGTTAAACCAGGGCTCCCACCGCTCCCGCTTGGAGGGGAGAGAAGAAGGCTCCATTTTTCTTAAACGAGCCGGCTGCCTCACACCTTACAATCAAAACTAACCTATGAGTCACCGCTTCACCCCTGCCAAGTCCTCAGGACTTTGTGGCTCCCGCTGTCTTCGTGTCCTGATAGAATCTAGAATCCAGGAATTCCAGGCTTAGGAAGAACCTGGGCAAAGTGGAGAAGACTGTCTGTGCACCTGCCTCCAGGCAGGACCCACCCAAAAGCCTTCCAGCGGTGGGGGGACTATTTGCAAGATCAGCTTTGAAGGTCTCCAGGGAAGTTGTTTCCCCCAGGATGGAAGATGGAGCTGTGAACAGAAGTTGTTTCATTTGTTATGTGCTGGAAACAAAGGGGCAGTTCAACCTGTTCTCACCGCGCCAGTGGCTTAACAAGCAACTCAAACTATAATTACCTTTTGCCAGTCGGACTGGTTGAGGAAATGGATGGCTTCCCCTAGAGCTGGGGTGACTGCCAGCCCCGGGGTTCTTGGGACTGTCCCTGAATGTCTTGGTCTGGCTTCTAATGTGCTTGATTTTGGTATGTGAGTCACTGTCCACTCAGAAGAAAATGGCCAAGCAAAAAGAATGGAGGGAAAAGACAGGAGAACAGCTATGTAGAGTGTCCAAGGCAAGTAAGCATTTAAGTCTCAGGCAAGCCTTACTCTAAGCACAGCCAACCCTAAATCTCAACTTACGATACTTCGATGGTCCGGTATAGAGGCAATGGTACTCATTACTGAATTATTTTGTTTTACCAACAACAAAAAATCCATCAGAAGTTTCCTCTTGGCGACTCCTCTAGGGACTTGTCAGAAATCCAATTTACGGACAACTTTTTGGGACCCTCCTCTATTGTGTAAAGCAAGATAGTCTTGGATTCTGAAGCTGCCTAAGCTTGGAAAACACCAAAGCTTTTGTAATTCTAGAGAATAAGAAGGGCTCATTTGGCATGAAAGAACATGAAATACAAACACCAGCTCATCAAAGGGCTTCAAATGTCTTAAAAACGAAAGAAAACAATACAGTCCAGGAGCCAAAAGTGGTAACAGCTCAACCATAGGAGAGGTCTTCAGTCACCAGGCAGACTCCATGGGGCATGAAGC